TTGGCTGAATAGCCTACTTACAAGACGGCGGAGCAAATTCAGGGAATCGCACCCATTGGGAGCCAATGACTGGTTGCTCAATTCATACGTCTTTCGTTTAGTCCGATACCAAGCGGTGGCCCAATCTTCCTAAGCAGGCTAATGGGGTGCCAGACAGGATCCAGAGACGAAACAAGCTTTCACTTAACGAGCGTCCCGTTTCGTGTGCCGGTAAGCGAAAAAGAGCTCTCACCCGTGTGATAAAAGGGATAGTGACCTTGTTTAGTGGCGAATCACACCCGCGACGTTACAGTGTCGTTAAGCGGACATATGTGGTCTTGGGAAAATTTTTGTCATGCGAAAACCCACCACGTCCTAGAACACAGCCGCCGAAGCGTTCGTTGTAATGGAGCAACCCCGAACCAGCATCAAGTTTGGCAGTCCAGCTAATTCAATTGAACACGAATTGTACACCGAGCAGAGTACGTCGTATAATTCATCCTACGTAGTGTGCCAAAACGTGGAATCCATGATGTCATGGTTCATCATCGCACCATTACTTTGCACCTATGTTTTGCTGCTATACTACTCATTCACCAATTAAACAACAGATAGTTGCTAAGAAATTTCTTTTCTGTGTGTCTCTCCAGGCATATACAATTATGAATCAAGTTGTCATTTGGAATAACAAGCTATTTCTAGTTTGGCACAATTTAACCTGGTCGGGTCTGTGTTGGGGTGGTATCCAGTGACCAACTTTGTGCATCGCCATGGATCAATTAGCCTAAACTCAGCTTACTGGTCCGTGGCCATGGTAAGGTCGAATTTCGCATCAGCACCTTCTGTTTGCATATCTCTAGCTTCAGCTTCCTGATCGCGATGACCCGCGGTTGCCAACAAATGCTTACTGCGTCTATTAGGGGCACGTTTAGACAGAATATAATGCCTCTTGAAAGAGTCCTTGGTTTGAACACGATGTCCACTGCTTACAAAGTGTTCCAAAATTGAGCTTTGAACCGTCTTGACCGTGCCGTGCCGCAGAGGGCAGGGCAATGCTCCGCTATCCGCCTCAACAGGCGTCTGGTCGTGTGCCCGATATACTTGTCTCACACAAGATGCAATCTCTTGATTGCTTTCGCAACCGCCATTCTTATCTCTAAAAAGCTTCAAAGGATCTACGGAGATCTGTCCCCTCAGCCCACCATCCTAAATGCAGTAGATCAGGACTACCCAATCTTCTCTCTTGGCGTTGTGTACGGCACAGGCATCTCTGAGTCTGATACAGCTCCCATACAAGCGCTGCCGATTGGCTGTTACATGGCACTGCATGTACTTGGAGTCTCGAGAGTGCAAATTACTGTCGCTGGACTGAGCTAATATAACTCATTTTAACCTCACCGACTAACCACTTGGATTCTGTAGTTACTTAGGTGGCTGCTTCACCTCTAGTGGCCGCGTTATCAAAGTGGTTACTTCATGCTTTGGTAACATTTGTAAATCTTCTTGCTCCGGTCGTTTTTTGAGGCGAAAGGATATAAGTTTATTGCTTAAAAATAGTATGTGCACTGCATTGTAACCGGCATTGCGTTCTTGATCATAGATAGAGCCACTACAATTTGAGACCTTTACCTTATTTTCAACCATTGATTCATCTGGTAAATGCAGCTCTCGGAATACCTTGGTGCACCACCCAGTAGGTTCAGAGAGTTGCACGAACTGTCGCCCAGTCTGCTTGTGACGGGTTCGACGTTAGTTAATGAATTTCTTCATGTCATGGCTGCTCGGCGGTTACGTCCAACAAGGAACAGTTCCCAACCCAATATGTGTCTAAGTTGCTGGTTAGTTTGCAGACCATACGCTCGACCTACTCGGCTCAGGTTGTTCAAGTAATAAAGGTTATCCGATGCTGCACCAGCGATTTGTTACCCGGCTGCAACTGGTTGACAGTTACGGTTCTCACTTGATGATTCCACTAGATATTTTCAACTTTGCTCATTCACAGATTCAACACGCAACAATTCTATACGTACTCCATCCACCGCGACGAAACTTGACCTTGACGTGATGCAACGTTTTGTATGCTGTTTTCTATTGAGTCGCGTCTGGTGATATTTTCCAAGCGTCTCCAGGGCTATTCCTGCCAGATAGGTCAGTGGCTGGAGGCCAAATAAACGGTCTCGTTATCTCTTTTTTGAAGGTTAGGAAGGAGTCGATAACCTTTCTCCTTCAAAAATTATCCATAGGGGCAACAGGTTACGAGTCATAAGCTCAGCTCAACTGGCCACGAGTTCAATGACTCCAATTTTTCTCTGGTGATGTGAGAACACCATCGTTGTTCAATATTTCGCAGAGTCCACCTCAAGCCAGGTTGCACCTGGTCAAAATATTACAAACTCACCAACTTCCACTTTCGATTGGCCATGATCCTAGGTGTTTACTACTGTCTAAAGATGCGTGAAATCCTCCTGAAGGCTGCGTGTAGCATGCTTCAAACAAATCCCAGTGGGACTCTACAGTCACATTCCCGTGATACATGCTTCCTAGTACCTTGTGGATCGGATTATTGAGCCGATGTCTCTTGATTGAACCATCAAGCGAATCTCCGTTCAGCCCACCTACTTGGGGATCGGAATGTTGATCCAAAGACTAGAGGTATGACCCTTCGAACAAGACCGCTCTTACAAAGAGAAACTAGCGTATTATCCCCTAACTAGACTATCGCCAGAAACGTTTTCCCTTTCACGAATCTTCTTTTGGTGTTTAAAAAACAAGTTGTTACCACTGATTTTATTGGGAGTGTCCATTGTGCGGGTATGTCCAAGGTACGAACCAGGTAGCGAAGGTGAGCCAAACCGGACGGACTCGATCATTAGCTGCAGCCGTCCATATGCGTATGTCGAGTGATTGGTTGAAGTTCAGGAGGGTTGTGATAAATTCATCATCGCTGATTTAACTGGACCAATGAAAGAACTTTATTTATCCAAAAACATTTTTACACGAGCGTCTATCGAGTCATGCGGTTTGTACCTGCTAATTTATCCCTACCTAATAAGCCACTTATCCTCGAAGAACCGACTTGTGACACCGGCTTCATGCCCCTGCTAGCAAAGAAGAGACTTCGTCTTTTAATTAGTGTGCCATCCATGCGCTGTTATCTCGACCAAATAGATACTTGCCATCGTTTTTTGCTATAGTGGAACCGCCCTGACGCACTTCACTTGTCATGGTGAGCTCAGCGCAGCCTTCTTGTAAACCTTCGCACTTCCAATGTAGTCGTGGTGTGAGGCTTTTACAGCGGATAAAGTTTTTCCGACACGCTTATGTAGAATAGCCATGGCAGCTGACACACGCGATCAGCAGAATCAGACGCAGATTTTTGAAACAAGGGCTGTACTCATGGTGGTCGGAGCACCCGTTGATAAATAAGGATTTGGTTAATGCACCCTCTACCGGCTTTTCACTTGTCCATCCTTTTCAGTGATCATCGAACCACCGCAGTATGTTATGAATTGACAGAAAGCATGTAGTCGTCAGCAGCTTTGCTCTGTTCGGACTACTGAAGAGGTCAGCAATGTTCGCCTAGCTGTGGGGTAGGTTACATTTGTCGAACGACTTGGCGTCTGTCTGACAGGCTGAGAGAACACCATCCGGCCAGGCTCATGACTGATTGTCGAAAACCAACAAACTTATCCATATTACTAACAAGCCGATGTCCCCCATGGCTCAGTGGCTTAAGCTGCTGGCTATTTGGCATCTGCCTCTAGCGGTCATGGGTTCGATCCCCACTAGGTGACCGAGGAGATGCGCACCACCGACGCGCCTCAGTAGGGCGAAACGCGTCTGGTGCTTTTCCGGACTAGGCTGTGTTATGTAGCTTGTGAGCAGCCTGGACGAAAACGTTACACTCACCCATAGTCACGCATCTCGCCTTCACTGACCATGCCACCAATCTGGTTGTCATTCAATTATTTGAATCCGCTGAGGCCACCGCGACGACTGTACGAGCCGCAGTTGTGTGTTCAGAAACGGTTCGTTCAGACGTGAACACTACCTTGGCCCACCCGAACTGCGACATCCGGCTCACGGAATTGTGTGCACGCCGCACTTGTGACCTAACCGATAGTGGTTGTGCCTGATCAGTGGCATCTTACCAATCTTTGCGCTGTGTCCAACATTTTGTGTCTTCCCACATATAATTGTACATGCCTGAAGTGGAGTTATTGCAAATTATATGTTTGCTTGCATCGAATTTTAACCATCCAATGGGATTTTTTTACTACTAGCTGGAAAGTTCGTTTACAATCATTTCGCCACTAATCCAAGTGACCTCTCCAGTTCGTCGCTTCACTGGTAGCGACTTATTACAGTTCGGCCATGTTTCTTCAACAAACTTTTACTGGCAGCAATGCTTTTCTGGTAGGTATTCTTGTGACTTTCGATGTATCCTATATTTCTGCCTGATTTGATCAACCGTCATCGAGGCAATTTTATCCTCCATTCCACACCACAGCCCTTTACTTTTGGTTAAGAGTCCACGCCACTCCCCAGTACGCTAAGTCGGACAACGGGTCACTCTCCGTGGTACAAAGTTGCCATTGCAACTCGTTCACTTTACTATTGATGTGCCAACATCGCGCGTGCTGCGACTGCGGTCTGAGCTAAAGACTTCGATGTTCGCAGAGTTAATTTGAGATTTGGCAACCACATATGTAATTCAGGTTGTTGTGGTCAGTCACACGTGAGTCGTGCGGGCCTAGAGCAATCTTCACTCAATTTAGCTAACTGTGGTATATTAATCAAGAGCAGCGCAAGTCAAAGTATCAGCCGGTCACCCTGACTAGATGGTGCAGAACAGGAGGATGCAGAACAGTCAACGCTCCTTCCACTCTCTGACAGTAAGCACGCTTCACGGATCAGTAACTTTCTTCATCCGTGTCATTATAGTTGCTGTTGAACCTCATGGACTGATGCTAATCTGATACTGATTTTTCAGCACTGATTACTCTCGTTTTTCCCTCTAGGTTATCCACAGTGAGAGCCATTACAGTCAGCATTATCTGCACGTTCTTCCCATTTTTGGATATCCCGGTGTTTTGGCCAATTCTCGTTCTCTACTTTCTTATGCTATTCACGCTTATGATGAAACGGCAAATCAAGGTGAGTTTTTGGTTTATTTTTGACATGCTACGTGCACATCTATTTGACTCCATTCCTACCGGCTACTGACTTCATTTTTGTTCAGTTTATGGCCCAACTTATCCAGTGATAACTTTATACAAATTCCAACTTCCAAATGATCAAAAGCAAACGATTTGAAATCATACTTATTCCACACTAGTATTTTCGGAGCATAGCACCAGTGTGAAGGTGGAACATCGATTAACCAGCTGTGATCTCGATGACGATAACCATACACTGTTTCTATGGTAACACCGACTCTTTATTCTGTCGATATTATTGCACTCGGCCAAAAGGCCAAGGTCATCCCTCCTTAGTAATGAATGGCTATTAGCCACATGTGTGCGGCTTATGAGCAACATGCGAGTCTGCTGTTCCAATTGGTTGTGCAGTCAGAAGCCTCCATTGACTACTAGTCTGGAGCCATCAGGGACCAATTTTCTTTACAGCTCATCTCTCCCCCATATTGCAAAAAGTATTTATGACGCGCTGCTTTCTAGTGTTAAAAGTGCTCAGATGGATCATGATTACTAAATTGGGGGCTTTGCTTATCAGTCTGATACGGGCGGTTGGTTTCTTCAATCTTTCTATCGATGACAGTTTTCACATCGGTCCAATTCTCTGCATCGCCGAATTAGTGAAACAATGTCCTGGACCCAAACTGTCGGCTATGGGTGACGCATGCGGTAGAGTGCATAGCGAGCTCGCTAAAATGTTTGAGTATGTGCTGCTACCATATTCACCCATATTTTTCCCTGAAGCGACAGCTTTCGAGGTTACTTACTTCCCCTCCAAAATCATAATCCATCAGGCAAGCTTGTCCATCCGAATTGAGGCACTTGCTCTCACTAATGAAAGAGGTGAATGAGCCAGGTACCTTATTATTGACCCTTTAGACTACTCGTTGTGTGGATAGATTACGGTACACAACCCGATGATGAACTGCGATTAACGTTGAAGCAGCTCTCCGTCACTGGTTTAATGTTATGCGTTGCCCGTTCGCAACAGTGCACTCTATAACTGGTCTCGTACTTATTCCCACTCATCAGACAGACAGAGATAGCAAAACTGCTGCCCAAACCCGGGTTCTACAGACTACTGGCTAAAGCATTTGTCCATGCACCACCGAGCTGCAGTTACCTCTTGCCACAATGCTTAACGATTCACTGTAGATTCGTTTTGAATGCATTGCGACACACCATCTCAGTCTGGACTGTTATTCACTTTAGAGTAAATCTCGCTCAGTATCTGCAACTACTATCAGTCTCTTGGTCACATTTGTATGCGATTGAAAGGATCTCGTGATCACTCGCTCGGGGAACTTTGTATGGTTGGTAGCATCCGGTTCCGGATTTGCATGTCACTGCGGCCTCCTCAGGACAGCCACAGGACGCCTGCGCCTACAGAGGGACCATAGGTGGCCTTGCGTTGCACCACCCGCAGCTTCATCCACACACCCATATCCCGTGTAAACCCGAAGGAATTAGACCGGGAGGCATGTGGATGGGAGCCACGTTTCATCAACGGAGTCGGCCCACACTCTTTCCACATGCGCAGCAGCAGCATTCCTGTCTATCTAACTGGGGAATCATGCGGACCTTGTATAAAGTTTTACCAATTACTTCTCTTCTTTGGGACAAAAATCTCGCTAGGCCTTGACGCTTTCTCCTTCTTGCCCTGATCTCTGTTGCGCTGGCTGATTGTGTTTGACTCTCACTTACTGCATACATGTTGTTTACGTTTCAGCTGTGAGCTATACATAGAACTTACGTGCCCCATGCATTAACCGCATTACTAAACTCATCTTAAACATCAGTGCAGAGCATGAGGCCTCTACACCTGTCTTAACCTCACACTGGCCATGTGCTTTCCCGATCTACAGCCGGCTATTGATACGGCATACATCATTTCCTTTTTCCATCCTCTTTCAGCACATGATCAAATATCGCTATATGCCATTCACCTATGGCAAGCCGAAGCACGCGGGGAACAGCGGGAAGGAGCAACCGAGCCCTAATCTAACATTTGGATCATAACTACACGTAGACCAGCTGAGGACATTTCGTTTGCCTTGTTTGTTTTTTCATCATGTACATAGCACGTGTGATCCTACGTGGCTTTCGCGGTGTAAAGCTGTTTTCTTGTTTCTATTTGACTTCCGAATTGGCTTTGACTCATTGGGATGGTGTTATTTTTTGCATTCCTCTTTGGCGTGCTATGCACAAGGACTTCTTTTTATAAACATCATCTCCACCACCGGCTTTTTTTCGAAATCCCCTCAACCCTTTGCTAGCCTCTTGGAGATAACGCTTCGCCTCATCGTTCTTGCACATGTGGTTGTTAACATCACTTGTCTGTGGTGCTTCCGATAACTTTAGCTCATCTAATGGGTTGCGTGTTGGTACACCTCTTTTTGTCGCTCTGAATTCCGTTGATAGAGACCTATTCGGTCCTTCTCAATTTCGGATCGCACCCATCTTGGTATTTCGGGAAACATTTCTTCTCGCCGATGCCACTTTCTGAGGCATTTATGCTGTCATTTTGTGGTTGTCTGGATGTATCCAACTAAACGTGCAGTGTTTTTGATTCCTTTGCATTTCCATTCACTTTCGAATCCGGAATTGTTTGGTTTCATTCTCCAACACCTCGCAACTTAATGGCCTTGGAAGGTATCCGCCACCTAATTTCCCACATCTCTACTGAACTATTCCCGCTTCGTCTTTGCATTTTCTTTCTCCAACTCCACCCAAGAAGGCGCTTCTTTTTAAATGGGTTATAGAGCTCACGATTTTCGAATGGACTAATTCTCAGGTCGTCTGCTTATTTTTGCATCACCTCATGAGCTTTACCCATCAACTGTTTAACCTTACTAACTTAACCTAACTATCTGACACAGCGACGTCAGTTATATCCTTGCTGCATGGTACTTGCTTGCCTCCACGTTTTTGTATCAATGTGGAATCCAGCACCTCACGGCATCCACTCCTATGCGCGATCAGTCTCGCTCCGTTATCCGTTGTTACTCGAACAGCAGATACTTTGCCAGGTATGTGGACTGTACTTAAGCCGGTAGCTTCAACTATTCTTAAAGTTATTCGTCTGGAAAGAATGCTCTTCAAACATTGTGGTGTCCATTACCGAGCACATCACTATTTGTTCATGCAGTCGTGTTCTTACAGCACATCTGCTTATGGTGGCACAACGCATCCCAATATCTTAAGACACCGTATCTCACACAAAATGGTAAGCAGTTAAGTTTTGAAATATTCGCTGTGTCTGGGTCGCCACCATCTCAACTCTGGTTGTATGTGAACCAGGTACTACCGAAGCACCGACTGTTCCATTCCTACTGCCTCGGCAATGGTCTCTACAAGTTGCATGGATTAGAAATTGAGGTGCACGATCTTCATGATAATTACAAGCTTCAAAGTGTGACGAACTTCTGTCCAGCTAGCTGCCTACATGCCTTTGGCCTACATGTTTCCCACTATTTTACACAGTTGTGCGACTAACGGTCGCAAACTCTGCAGGAATCAAGCTCACGAAAACTCAATTCATAAATAATCCCCATTTGAGTCAGAAGTAAGCAAATGCGCTAAGAATGTTTTTTTCGATAATTCTCATCAGTCATGTACAATTATGAAGCAAACATTTTTGAAGAGAATAAAGCCCGTTGAGGCCTCTACGCATTTGCTTACTTCTCACGAAAAACTACAAAATCCCTCCTGTTTCCCTTGCACTTGGATGCCCCTTCATTTGCTGTTGTGGGGTCCTGGTGTGTCTGAAGTTTAGTCGGGTTCTTAGGGGATTGTGGATTCCACCCACAAATACCCCAGTCTTATTCCTCTGGGTTTACAGCAGATATTTTGCCCATTTATGATACAGCGCATGCAACTCATACTCTCTATAGGTTTTCTCCGGTTGTTCACACTCACGCTGATATAGAAGTCTGACAAAGAATCTTGTCAGCTACTGTCCGCGTAGGATCTAGTTCTATTTTACCTTTCCGCTATCGTCTCATCGCTATCTTCTACTCGATAGAACTTCCGCCCTAGATAAGTTCTGGTTGGTGAATCGGACTAGTTGCCAACTGACTTCAGAAAGTTTGTGGGCAACGTTTCGCTTTTGACACGAAAGCTTATAGTAGTAAATGTCAAACCCTTCCCCATTAGTCTACATTCTGTCTTACTCAACACTTTATCTGAAGTATTAACTACGTTGCAATGTTTACTGCTAAATTCAAACCTACCAGTCAGACTGATATTATTACGTGCAGACATCGTATGATAGAGCTTACGAGTCTGCTTTTGTTTTGAGGTCCTTGGCTTTGAAGTCATTTACCCATTACCTGAACACTTCTCCCAAGGATTCCGCAAACAGCTCTTATCCATCGCCGAGGCTATGTACATTCACCATCTAAAGCCGGAATTATGTGTCCAAAAACGATTTATACGGCCGATATTACTACCTTGGCCAACGGACACCGTGACTTAGTTATTTGGCTGTCATCTTACCTACTTAATTACCTTGTACTAATGAGCCTTGTGTACACATGTTTATTTAGTTTACTTGGTCTACCATCTCTATCTCTGTCTCAAGTTATCGATTTTGGTCATTCAAACAGTCAAGAAGTCAATCCCAGCCCCAGTTTACGCTATCTCCACAATCACTGTTATGTAAAAGTTTGGGTCTGATGAGATTTACCGAAAAGAATTCTTTACCCTGAAATGATTTCTGATATTGATTCATATTAATGAAATCTCTAAAGTTGCAGCGAGGCTTTTATTGCTTGTTGTTGCTGCTTAGCTTATGAAACTATCGGCGATGCGCTAGGCGCACGCAGTCTGTACTTGGGCTTTGAATGCTTGTCTTGCACTGTGGCAGTAATGACACTCGCTTCCGCTCCCGTGTCGATGAGGGAAGTAGCGCAAGAACGTCAACCCTTAACGTAAAACAGGCGATCTTTTTTGTTATTGATGAATACCTTGGTTGCGCTAGTATGCGGAATATTCGGTTTTCCTGAGGCGGTTGGGCCTAACGGAGGGAGCCCGATGTCCAGCTTTTCCCGCCATATTTACTCACAGCCCCCATACATCCAAAAACAACAAGCCCCTTTTATATAACATCATCTGTGCAATAATATTACATTATTGCCCTAACATGCCCCCTTACATTAATGCCCTAACTTTATTTTGTAACTAGCTTCGATTTAGGCGGCACCAATAATTGGTGACCCTGACGTGAGACACATTGTATTATCCTGATTGTTAACTGTCTGCCTAACAATATGGCTGTTCCAACGCACCAGGCTGATTTCGTACACTCCTCACTACCAAACATTAACCTTTTTGACACGATGACCCACAGATACGGTTTACGTAAGCTCATGCACAGTTTGCTCTTCACAATATTATAAACGAACACACCACGTTTTATCATGTGCTAGCTGGGTTGCGACCAGAGATTGCTACTGATCTACGAGATATTTTGTCGTCACCGGATGGTGTTAAGCCTTATTCTCAGGTAAAACGTGCAGTCATCCAACGAACCACCGTTTCTGAGCTCAACCCCTGGTACAATTGGTTAGCGGCGAATCACTTGACGGACACACTCCTTCTCAGTTCCTCAGATGACTTCACACTGTATTAGGTGATCGCAAAGTGGATGACTCGGTATTCAAACAGTTATTTTTGAAGCGTCGTCCTCTAGATTGGGGGTTGGAGTGATGGTGGCTCCTTATTCCTTGAAATGAGCTCCTTGCAGCCCACTGCTAAATCCGCTGCTTTGCGGTCAGGTTTTTGAACCGAAGACTTTGAATGGGAATTTTTGTTGTTCTCCTGTCTAGGCCTAGGCAACCTGGTAGTACCCTATCCGCGCAATACAACTATGCATTTCTCTCTACATGAGTTCTTGATGCTCTGGCCGTCGCAGGGGATAATCAACGGTGCCCTATCTGCTGCATCGCACAGGGTGGATAGGGTTTGGGTGTTATTGCCCAAGCCTTCTCGTCTTCTTACTCCCCCTCCTACGCTTTTTCACACTTGTCGTCCCGTTCCGACCTCACTTTTATCCCTCCCGTTTTAAACCCCCTAATTATTGGCTCCCCTTGCTTTGACAAGCGTATATCTTCTAGTTTCAACTCACATGCAAACCCGAGCGTCATTCCTTCCCTGTCGACAAGCCCACTTCCAACCAAGCGGTCAGAGCCAGTCCATCGGCCTCTATTTAAAGCACTCGATCCCACCTCAGCTTGGCATTCCTTAACCTTCGCGCATTGTTACAGGTCAGTCAACAGGCGGCACTTGCCCGAACATTAGAGACACTCTCGATCGATATCTGCTGCTTATCTGAGACTCGTACGCAAGACTCGAGCTCTGCGATCCCCTTCAGGTGACACTAGCAGCATTTTCTCATTGCGCCTATCTGGTGACGATGTAGCTTCGAGTACCGGCCAAGCCGGTGTCGGTGTTGCCCTGAGTTCCCGGGCTGAGACTGCTTTTATTGATTGGATCCCGATCAATAGCCGGATGTGTGTGGTCCGATTGGCTGGCTCGTCCAAAGCTTCGAAGTCGCGCGGGACTAATAGGTGTCTGTTCGTCATGGCTACCTAGGCGCCCACAAACTAGCGGTGACTCGGTAAAAGACGACTTCTACCGACAATTGAACGAGCTCCTTCACCACAGAAGAAGCACGAACACTGTAGTATTGGCTGGAGATCTAAAGGTTCAAGTTAGAAAACTGTCCACTGATGAGCTGCATCTGGGCGCCCAACATGGTGTAGGCTCCCGTAATGAGAACGGTTAGCGGTCAGCTCATTTGTGTGAAGATGCTCGTTTATTTATCGCGAGTACTAACTTCCGACACAGTACCAGCCGGAGAGTGACATGACACTCACCACTCTTGGACGCAAATGGATCACATTCCGACCACTGGAGAAACTGCATCCCAAAATGTCACTTGATTTGGAGCACCTGTGTGGACAGTAACGATACATTTGTATCTGCGACTGCGGTGGTGGCACTGAATACAGTTGTAG